GTGTCGTGGTCATTGTCAACAATCGATCAATATAACATCATCTCCACCTGAATTAGTCGCATCGAAACAACCAAACTTTCCTCAGGAATCTTATCCTCCAGTTCAACGACAATTTCCATTTTCATCGACTCAATGGGAACAACTTGTCTCTCTTCTTGACTTGGAGACATTCACAGCGTTAGATAATAGAATTGGATGTCCTGGTTGTGCTGATGGTGGAATAGAATGGATTCAAGTCGATTGGGCAGATGCAACCAAACGAGTGACATTCGAAAGTGGACAACTATTCAAAGGACTTGAAGGATTTGTTGTAAACTTACGACAAATGAGAGAAGAATATGTTGCTCAACTTTAAAAGCTTAAATTATTTGTTTAAAAAAACGAATAAAATCCGAAAATCAGAAGTCTCTAACCACTTTTTTTCTTGTTCAATCTTTTGTTATAAATCTTTTTTTAGCAGATTATAAATCTAGAGAATAGGAAAATGAAAATGCGACATATGCTCTGCTCAATCATTTAAATAGAGTCTATATGTAGAGTAATTTTGTTATTCTCCAGTCTATCACAACTTAGTTTTCAAATAGACACACAATATGTGATCATTGAGTTGAATTTATTAAGAGTACTTTTTTGTAATTGAAATGTATCAAGTTATAACAGATGGGCTATAATGCATTGCACTATATGTAAGTGCCTTTTTCTCCCACTGAAATTGAATAGGGGTATTCTGTATTAACATTGAGTAAAATAATGGTGGGTGTGGTGTGGGTGTTGTCTTCGCTTCCTTCATACCCACACCCACACCCTTTTGTTTAGATTCATAATCAAGATCATCCTTGTCCTATGTATCGAATACGTTGATATAGCAATAAAAAAGTGAATGTAATCGTTTTTGATAACCTTGAAGATCTAAACGACCATCTAAATATGTTTGTTTAGCTTGAATTAAAATATTTTCATTGTCTATGGATGTAGCTTTTTTAGGACGTATTGATCATTGTTGAGCTTGCTCTTGCTCAACCCGAACGATCGTTGATTCTTCAGATTGTGTTATAATTAGAGAAAACCTATTATCGTCCACGATCGACATTTTTATTTAGTTTATCTAACGATATCTCTATTACTTTATATACTTTCTTCCACAATATATGCAAAAAATGACCTGGACACTACGTGACATTGGGGTGTGGGTGTGGGTGCGGATGTGAGTGAAGAGAAGACCCACACCCATAAGTGAGAACTTGTTTGTTAACTAACGCCATACAATATTGAATTATTACGCAATCGAAGTTAGACGTGGATGAAGAGAAATACCATAGCTATATTCACACTACCATTCAGATACTCCACACATATTAAGATCCGTACTCTAACCCTTACTATCATTGTCATTTATTCGTAGAAGTGAAAAAAAAACATATGAAGATGCAAATTAGCAATTCTTTTCTCATGTATCGTGTGAGATACATTGGTCTGGTGACTTTGCTATTTGTTAAAAAGTATACAAATATAAGAAATTCTTTCAAACATGCGAGTTAACTCTATTTTTATTTTACTCATGCAACCGCGAAAAAGAACAAAGAAGATGAATAATATAGTATGCAACAGTAATTAAAATAGGGTTTTAATATGTGCAATAGTCTATTATAAAATAGGATATAGGCAGTATCACTTTATATTCAGAATTTTCTCTTGTTTTTGTGAGACATCATTACTGACGACATAATGGCTTATAGACAAATGAACTTTGATCAATCTTGCAATCTGATCCTAATGATATTCACTTATTGAATATAGAATTTCAATTTTGATAATGGTTGACAACAAAAGTACGTATTGATTTCCACCAAGATAACTATTTGACGTCATTGAAAGCAGATAAATATTTTACTACAATATATAAAGAACATATTAATATTTACTTTTTTTATCAGTTTACACAGTGTCAATTTACTAATCTGATTTAATAAAATATCTTCAAATATGTAGATGAAATACTATAAAAAGGAATAGTTAATTACATTTCATTGTGCATCTATTATTTTCGATTTCATCAACATCATGAAAAATAATCAACTAATAATTATTCTACTGG